GAGAGAAGACAGCATCAGGGACCTCCAAGCCTCTGTTACCCTCTTTCCCAAGTTCTTCTTTTAAACCTTTTGGTTACCCTAGAGTTGCCACAAGTATTATTACTGCCTCAGGTGGCTCTTCTATTATGGTAAAAATATGCTTCTGATTTGTTTCTGGTTCACCAAACACCCAGGAATAATCAGCTTTGCATAGGCTCCTAGTCAGATCAAATAATCCAACCCTGACTGGGGTCTTCCAGAGAATCACCGGACGATTAGAATAATGACAGTTCTTTGGAAATGGAGCTCAAGCCATGCTCTGCCACCTTCAGTGACAGCCAGGCTGTGCGTGCTCACCCTAAGAGCAAGCTGGCTGTTTCCAAGGTTACTGCAGAGTGGAGCGAAGTTATAAAGCTGGGTGCTCTAACAATATTCAGCCATTCGAGTTAACATGCAAAGTTCTGGAGAAGGATATTCAGACAACTTTTGCCAGTATTCTCTTTGGTTCTAAGAAGAGTATTGGAGCCAGCGGTTGGCAAGGCAGTTAAAATGCTGGACTCCCACATGGCCAACTGAGGTTTGAGCCCCAGAAATGGTGGCTTAAAACTCATGACAGGTGCATATGTGCGGTGCTCCAAATACCAGGTGAGTGGAGGAGAAGAGAGAGCAGCGTAGTCACTCCCAGGGGGTTACTTTTCTCTTTGGGTGATTTTTCATTTTCTTTCCCTCTGTTTCGGTCTCTGTCTCTCTGGCAAGTACAAGTGCTCTATGGCAAAAAGAAAAAAAAAAAAAAAAAAGGAAGAAGAGTATTTTTGGAGATTCTCAATCGCCATTTACACTAACATTATGTACAAGATCAAAATATGCCACCCGAAAATGTGCCTTGTGGAGACCAGACTGAGTCATTCTAAAATGTAGCTGTGTGTCATAGGGGCAATTCTGAGGCTCTGCACACACAGAAGCTCCAGAAACAACAGAAGTTCTGTTTTTACAAAGGGACTTGGTGTCTAAGAAGGAAATGTCCATCAGTAAGTGTGTCTCCCTCTCTGCACCAGGAAGGAGGAGCTGACTGTAAATCACAGGGACTCTCACAGTGGGGGGCACTGACCTGAACCTGCAAGGACCCCGCCCTCGCTCACTGTCCTTCGCTGGGTGTCCGAGCCTGCCTCTCCCGCCCTCCTCTGTCTTTGCTTCAGGTAAGCCTGCACTCAGATCGCAGGCTTTGAGAAGTACTCATCCCCGGGTGTCTTCCGTGATGACATGACAGGAAATGCACGTTAATAAACTTGTTTCTTTTCCTGTTGTTAATTTGTCTTTTGTTACAGGGTTTTTTCCCAACTAAGAACTTAGAAAGAGCAGGGGAAATTTTATTTTTCTTCCTCTACAATCACTTTCCTTCAAACAAATAAGGTATCCATTTTCATTTATTTTGTTTTTCTCACTTCTAACATCTATATTTCTAGCTAGTTTCATTTTCCTTTAAGTTGTAAATTTAACTTGTAACTCATTGGTCTTTATTATCATAATATTTCCATTTTCTTATGTTGACTGTGTTTCATCTCTCTTATTATATCTGTTTAGCATCTTCAGCTATTTTTTAAAGAATTATTTATTTAATTTATGATTATTATTAAATTTGCTATAGGGCATGTGTGCTCACCAGAGAGACAGACAGAGAAAGAGAGTGAGAAAGCAAGCCATCAGATCTGGGACTTGAACCATGGTCGACCACATGGGAGTCCAGCACTTTAACTAGCACACCACCTTCTGGCCTCACTTTCAGCAGTTTTTTTTTTTTTTTAAAAAAAAACTCATTTAATAATAACGTACAAAAAAAGGCGAGATTTTGTTATGCAGACAAGTAATTGTAGTTCAGACTGGAATAACTTGAATTTGTTATTTCCCTATCGAGAGAAACCATGAAGAGAATCCTGTGAAAGGAGTAAGCTACTCCCAGGTACTTTCAGGTGAGTCCTGTTTGTGCAGGAACTTCTGAGCAATCACACTGTTGCCATAATGAAGCTCCACCGGGTGGCTGGGCGTCTCTTCTTCGCTCCTCTTCTTCCGGCAGACCTGGTGCGTCCGCTACACAGTTCTCAGGGAAGGGCACTGCTGAATGGAGAGGCACGCATCTCCTCTGAGGGCAGTCGTGTCTGTGCAGCTTTCTTCTCAAGGCCAGGTTAGCTGGTCTCTGTCCGTTGATATGGAGAAGATTCATCATAAAAATAAAGAATACAAAAAAGAATTGTCGAAATCTCATTTTCTTGCCAAAGTAAGGGGGGGGCAACAGCTCTCAGAGTGAAGCAGTCTGCAAACAGTCTGCAGTATCTCGCATTCTAGTGACAAACGCAGAGAACTGCAGCTGCGTCTTCCAGAAAGGTTAATGATCACATCAGACGAGGTGACGGGTGCTTGATGGTGTGGTCAGAGCCGCCCTCAGCCTCACTCCTCTCCTCCCTTCCCTGCCACTCCCCTTCATTTCCATAAGCAAATATTGGTGAAGTAGGCCATTGGAGATCCTGGAAGTCTTCCCGGAGAGGCAGCCTTGCACTCAGTCTCTCAGCTGTTTTATGTGTGCTTTTCATTCTGCTTTATGGAGCCTATACTTACTTTATAACTCACCTCAATGTATTTGGTCAAGATTTTCATCTGTTCTTTGCAATTTTTGTTGTTCCATTCTCTTGGTCTCCCGTTTATTTATTAATATTCCCCTCTTTGTTTCTTTTAGAATGTTGCAAATATTCTGTGCTTGTTGCTTTTAGTGATTTATGAACGAGTGTCTTTTTTCCTAATAGTTGTGCATGCCGATTTAGTCAGAGCTATGTCTGAGCAAATAGCAATTCTCTCTTTTTCATCAGGTTTAGTACATGTGTGGAAGTTCTTTCAGCTCTGTTATCCCAATTCGACTCTCAAGTGTCCTGCAGAGCTGCTTTCAGTACGGAGTGTCTCTGCCCTACCTGTGCTGCACAGTTCTGTGGTTCCTTCACAAGGAACTGTTGGTACTTTTGAGACTCTGCCAAATGGGAACCGGGGTAGTGTTACTCCCCAGTCTCGCACGTTACTACTTTTTTTTTAAAAAGAATTATTTTATTTAATTCTATTAATCATTATTATTATTTAAATTTGACTAGAGAGAGAGAGAGAGAGAGAGAGAGGAGGGAAGGGGAGTGAGAAGCAAGCGAACAGCCTGGAACTCGAACTGCGGTCAGTCATGTGGGAGCCCAGCGCCTCAGCCACCACACCACCCGCCAGCTCCTGCCCGTTACTGCTGGTGAAGGAAAGTTCCCGTGGTTTTGACCGCGTCTCCAATGCATGGGAGGACCTTTTCACTTTTCCTGTAGGCATCTTTGAGTGTTTTCATATACTGCTATTTTCTCTTCACAATTTTTTTTGTTTTTTATCATTTGCCTCTCATATTTTGTGGTGTTTATTTTTAAGACTCTTTCAGTTGTTCTAGAGATTGATTATTCAGTTCTGTTTTTAATTCCCTTGGTTGTTGTTGATGAATTCTAGGAATAGCAATGTAAAATCTTTTTCTTTTTTCTTTTTTTTTTTGAGAGATTTTTGCTGTAGGGTGCATGTGCTTGCCAAAGAAACAGAAAGTGAGAAATCAGCCCCCAGAGGAGATGGCCGTGCTGCAATCCTTTCTACCCCATTCTCCTCTTGGGATCTTGGGCGTGCACGCTTTTGTGCACTGCATCAGTTTTAAGTCACTGGGTCCGGACTTGAACCACGTTCTACTACGTGGGAGTCCAGCGACGTAAACGTTACACCATCTGCTGGTCCCAACCATGTAAAATCGTGACTTCATGTTCCCACATTGAAACTGGTGATGCAGGAAGTGAGGGTGATCGGGTCCAACACCAGTGCCCAGTCTGGACTCGCAAGTTAACCAAGTTCTCCATCTCACACTCACGAAGAATTAGAGACAGCACGGACACAGGAAAGGGGCTGAAAAGCAGAGTTTATTAAGAGAGGAGAGGACAGGGACCAGCAGTTAGCGTAATGGCTATGTCGCTGGACTCCCATGTAGTTGACCGCGGTTCGTGTCCCAGACCCGGTGGCTTAAAACTCACTCCGGGCGTGTGTGCGTGCGTGCCCAAGATCCCGAGAGGAGAATGGAGGAGAAGGGATTGCGGCGTGGCCATCCCCCCTGGGGGGGTGATTTCTCGCTTTCTCTCTCTCTGTCTCTCTCTGTCTGTCTGGCGAGGGCATGCGCCCTATAGCGAAAACCTCTCCAAAAAAAAAAAAAAAATGCAACCCCTTTTCAGAGCAGGCATGGCTCAGGGCCTGCCCACCTGGACCCTCGAGGGTGCTGTGAGTGGGTCTCCTAACTTTCTGGTGCCTGTGGCTTCTGTGCTTCAGAGGGGTCCCTAATCTTAGCCTGGCCTAAACACCCGTCAGACGCTCCGCCCTGCCCTCTGTAGCACCTTTCTCCGAATAAGATGGCTGCACGCAGGGTATCCACACGGCAGAGCCCTGGGCGCTGCCTGCGTGCCAACCCCGCGGAGTGGACGGCCATCAGAGGGCGTGAGCCACGTGCACTGGCCCGTAAACACAGAGAACTGCGCTTAACGAAGAGGGGCTTTATTACTGAAGCGACGGCAGAAAGCCAAAGTGTAATTCATCTGCGAAGGGCAGTCGGATGGTTTTCTCCAGTAACACATGTTAGTAATCTACCTCTACTTGATGTGATTAGGTAATAATACTCATTTCTAGAAAAACGGAAAGTGCATTTATTTCTGTGGGGGAGGGGCTCGCCTGTGATTTTTTTTTTTTTTAATTGCCAGATCACGCATGTACTCAGCGGAGCGAGACAGAGAAGGGGTAGGAAGCAGGCGTGGCTCAGACACGTGTTCAGTGTTTCCTTTTAAGTAAAGCCAGTCTCTAGAAGGACCGGACCCTGGCCTGAGTCACAGAAACGGAGAACTGGTGTGAGAATCCTCAGTTCAGCCAGAGATATTCCTTTCATTCAAGCTGTCTCACGTTCCAGCTTCCTACAGGGGGAGAAACTGGAACTCACTGTGGCTTTGATTTGCATCTCCCTAATGACTGATAGCAGTAAACTCTTCTCCTGTGCTTCTTGTTTATTTGTAGGTCTCCTTGGGAGAGGTATCTATTCAATTCCTTTGCCCACTATTACACTAGTTTGTCTTTTTTCTTTTTTTTTTTTGCTTGCTGGAGGGACAAAGGCAGAGAGAAAAAAGGGGAGAAATTGCCCCCAAGGGAGGATGACCACACACCCCTTCTCTTCCAGTCCCCTCTTGGGATCTTGGGCACACACACACGTGCCCTGTGTGATTTTCAAGCCACCAAGTCCAGGACTCACACTGTGGTCGGCCATGTGGGAGTCCACCGCCTTGACCACCATGCCACCTGCTGGCCCCAAATTTGTTTGTCTTTGTATCACTGAGTTGTAGATTAGGGTTCTTTAAAAAGTTCATGGAAAATAGGTATTATGAAGAGACTATGCGAGGGTTTCAAAATTGTTTCGTCAATATAGACATTCCTTAAAACACAAGTTTTAAATTTTTCTTTCTCTCTCTTTTTTTTTCTTACTAGATATTTGTGATAGAACACATCTATAGAGAGAGAGACAGAGAGAGGGAAAGTGAGAAATCACCCCCAGCGAGGAGGGCCATACCACAGTCCCTTCTCCATTGTCCTCTCAGAATTTTGAGCATCTACGCATGTGAGCCTGCATGCTTTGCAAGCTGCCAGATCCAGGACGCAAATGATGTGGTTGACTATGTGGGATCCAGACCCTTAACCACCACACCACCTGCTGGTCTATAGGATGACCACACACCCCTTCTCTTCCAGTCCCCTCTTGGGATCTTGGGCACACACACACGTGCCCTGTGTGATTTTCAAGCCACCAAGTCCAGGACTCACACTGTGGTCGGCCATGTGGGAGTCCACCGCCTTGACCACCATGCCACCTGCTGGCCCCAAATTTGTTTGTCTTTGTATCACTGAGTTGTAGATTAGGGTTCTTTAAAAAGTTCATGGAAAATAGGTATTATGAAGAGACTATGCGAGGGTTTCAAAATTTTTTCGTCAATATAGACATTCCTTAAAACACAAGTTTTAAATTTTTCTTTCTCTCTCTTTTTTTTTCTTACTAGATATTTGTGATAGAACACATCTATAGAGAGAGAGACAGAGAGAGGGAAAGTGAGAAATCACCCCCAGCGAGGAGGGCCATACCACAGTCCCTTCTCCATTGTCCTCTCAGAATTTTGAGCATCTACGCATGTGAGCCTGCATGCTTTGCAAGCTGCCAGATCCAGGACGCAAATGATGTGGTTGACTATGTGGGATCCAGACCCTTAACCACCACACCACCTGCTGGTCTATTTATTTATTGAGAGAGAGAAGCATCTGTAACTAGATCTCACCTTTGGCCCCTCCATCCCAGTCTTTCCAGCTAGTCAGGGTCACAGGAGTGCACGCTGCATGTATTGTTCAGCCAGGGGACCGAATTCCTGATAGTCCACGTGGATCCCACATCACGCGAGCAGTGTAGGACCATGGCCCCACCCAGTCGGCCCTAAACATGCACTTTAATTTCACTTTTCACATAAGCGTTTGGAAGTCTTGTCATATTCTGAGTGTGAGACACTGTTGGATATATGAGTTGAATGTATTTTCTACTATTGTGGATTTTCTGTCATGATAATATCTTTTAATGCACAGAAACTTAAAGTTTGCTGTAGTCTGACTTACCTTTCTTGTTTGTGCTATTGGTGTCATGTGTAAAAAAATTTCTAAAGACAAGGCATAAAAATTTACCGCTATATTTTCTGTTGAGAGTGTTATGGGTGTAGCTCTTAGTATATGTTGTTGATCTGTTTTGCGTTAACTTTATATGTGGTGTGAGGCAGAAGCACAAGCACATTGCTTGAATTAAGCTTTCCAGTTCGCTCTGATTCGTTGTTGAAAGGAATCTTCTTTCTCCACTGACAGGTCTTGACACACTTGTACAAAGTCAGGTGACTGCAGACGTGTGGGCTTAGCCGTGAACTCTTACTCTGTCACACTTGTCGTCCTGTCTATCCTGATGCCAGTACCCACCATTTTAAACGTAGCCTCGTGAAAAGGGTTGGAATTGGAGGGGGGTCTATCTTCTTATTTATTTATTTGTTTATTTATTTATTTATTTTCCAAGTACTGTTTTGGCTATTCAGAACTCCTTGCAATTCTGAATGAATTTGTGGATTAACTTTTCCATTTTTACCACAAAGTCACTGAATTTTT